GCACACCTGTGAATTACTCATTATCCCTGGTCCTCCAAATCTCAAGACCAAGATTTGGCTGCATTGCTCACAAAGTCACTATGTGACTTTGAATTACTCAACCCTCCACCTGTAAAATGAAGATGATATATCCCTAATAGGGTTGATCTAAACATTAAATGAAAAAATGTATATACTATGCCTAACACTGCTGACACTCCATAGGTTCTCAATAATACAGCAGCTTATTACTTTGAAATAACATTTAAAAGAGCCAAGCACTTTGTATATTTTTAAAACTATACAAATGTACAGTCTATTAAATGATTATTAGATATGAGTTAAAATTGTAAATGCTTAAAATATACCCAATTCTCACCTCTCCAGCAAATCCTTAAGAGAACATTGTTTTTCCTAACACCTGCACCCAAAATGCATCTGATTGCCCCATTCACATCTTACCCTAACCCCCATAACTCATTACATGGCCTCAAAATTCAAATCTGTCTCGACATCCATCCAAAAACCACATGGTGAGAAAGATGACTATGACTGAAAATAAATTACCATTTAAATTTCAAATGCTGAAATTTAAATAACCTAAATCACAACATCCTTTCTTTGATTATAACAAAACACACACACACACACAAAGGTTTATTAACTGTTACTTCAAATCCTCAAATCTACCAGCAATATTGACTAATTAAAAAGGCCATCCTGAAAAGTCACATTTGTCTTTTTATAAGTAGTAAGGAATGACAGAGTAAAATAATGGTGAAAACTATGCCAAGGTTAGAAGCCTATTTCTACCCTTCACCTTCATGCTCAAGAATCCTAGAACTGGGCTTCCCTGGTGGCGCAGTGGTTGAGAGTCCGCCTGCCGATGCAGGGGACACGGGTTCATGCCCTGGCCCGCGAAGATCCCGCGTGCCGCGGAGCGGCTGGCCCGTGAGCCATGGCCTCGGAGCCTGTGCTCCGCAACGGGAGAGGCCATGGCAGTGGGAGGCCCGCGTACCGCAAAAAAAAAAAAAAAAAAAAGAATCCTAGAACTAACTCTACACTGTGAAATTCGAGTCTGTCCCCAGCCAGAGTAGCAGACTTAATGCACCATTAATCTGGTCTGTTCTCAGCCGCCAACTGAAATAGTCACAGTCATTTGATTTTTAAGGAAAAGACAGTACTGCAGAAGTACATTCCAGAGGTCTTTTCATAAAAACCATCCCGTGTGCTCCATCTGCACATGCAATCTGCTTGTGTATTTTCAGCCAGCTTGCTTGGGCAGATTAATGCGTACAATTAGAAAGCAACCCCACAGGCATTCAATAAACTGCTTTCACTATTACACTCAGGAGAGTCCCTCTGGATGTCAATAAAAGCCTAGTTTTCTGCCTGTTAGCTAAATAATTGACAACACTAAAAATAATCAGAAGCAAATGAACGAAGTCAGGAACAAGGTGGTAAGAAAGAATACATTAAGATTCTCATGGTGGTGCCCCAGGATGATATCATGAGCTTTTTCTCCAGCAACTTGGATTTACAGTCTGCTCAAGTCCACGGTTGCCCTTCTCTACAGAAAACAAAACAAAACAAAGAACACCACTCCTAGTCTGCTATTTGAAACACACATATCACAGCATTGAAAGAATTCCTTATTTGTGTTTCTATTCTGTGATCCTTAGTTTGACAGCTTCAGGAGAATCTAATTTTTTGGTGAAGGGGATGGAATAGGGAACAGCCTGGTTGGTCTAGTGAACACTTTGTGCTGTTAAAATTCTAAGAGCTCTCGGACCTCCCTGGTGGCACAATGGTTAAGAATATGCCTGCCAATGCAGGGGACACGGGTTTGAGCCCTGGTCCAGGAAGATCCCACATGCTGTGGAGCAACTAAGCCCATGAGCCACAACTACTGAGCCTGCACTCTAGAGCCCACGAGCCACAACTACTGAGCCCGCGAGCCTAGAACCCGTGCTCCACAACAAAAGAAGCCACCACAATGAGAAGCCCGCGCACCGCAATGAAGAGTAGCTCCTGCTCGCTGCAACTAGGGAACGCCTGCACGCAGCAACAGACCCAACGCAGCCAAAAATAAATAAATAAATAAAAATTAAATGTTATACAGCAGAAACTAACACCATTGTAAAGCAATTATACTCCAATAAAGATGTTAAAAAAAATTTCTAATAGCTCTCCTATACAATTCTTCCACCATAAATTGATTCTAAGAAAATATGATAAAGGCTTGTTATAAGGATCCATCTTATACAAGAAGTTTCTTTCATATTTCTAGCTATATAATGGTCATTCATTTCATTAGCTATTGGTCTTTTAATATCAAAAGTACTTCAAAACAAAATACATATAAAAAACACACACATATACTTCTTCTTGTGTTTCTCAATAGGCTTTAACAATCAATTTGAGATACTTCTCATTTTTAGCCAACTTCTCTTTTTCTTGGTTAACTGGGACTTTTATGATAAGCAGAAGGAAGATCAAGAGTGAAATGTGCGTGTAATTGAATTCAGCTCCACTGATAGTGTGTGAGGTGCCTGAGGGTAGAACTCTTCTTTCTTTACAGAAAAAGGATGATCTCTAGTATTCAGTAAAACACAAACTCAAGAAGCTGGAGGACTAGAAAAAAAAGGTTTGATGACACAATCTCCCACATCCTTTAAAACTCCAAGAATCTCTCATCCTTCACTTTATCATGTTTAAAACTCCCCAGAGGATGGACTTGTTCCACTTCCCAGTCCTGTACCTAAGACCTCTCATTGGTAAGCAGGTCTTCCCTTTTCCAGTGTAAACAAGGATGCCACAAGATAAATACATTTGTTCTTATTGTGTCTCCAGGCTACAAATGCCCCCATGCCATCTGGGGGCACTCAACTCCTCTGATTGGCTGAGAAATCAACTCTCATCCATTCTCTACCAAAGAAGGGGGAGGCAATAATACCTTAACCCTTAGTCTATTGCCTGCCGCCCTGTATCTCTCTCTAAGACAGCCTGGTGTTTAGCTTCACACCAGCTTCCTTACCCCCCTTCTCCTGGTGTTTAGCTTCACACCAGCTTCCTTACCCCCATGTCTGCCTTAGAACAAAAGTGGGGAAAGATAACATCATTCATTAGCACTTCCACCCAACCCCATTCTATCTCCCACTCTTTTCCTGGTCTGGGTAGCGGAGGCCAGGTACCCAACTTGCTAATGGGCAAAATGAAGTGCTGAGAAATTTCTTTTACATTCCAACCTCTGAGTCTTAAAGCAAGGAGCTGTTGCTTACAGTAGAGGCAGGAGAATCTCAGCGGAATGAGAAAACCAGAGGATGCTGTACTTGGAGGAGGGACACACTTTAGGGTGTCACATATGCTCACCCCAACATTAAAATGATCTTAAATTCTACAGATGAGGTGTAACGACGGGAATAGATAAGCGGAGGCAGTCAGTACAGTCCATCAGAAAGTGGGAGACCAATAACTAGTTCTGGTGGAACCAGAAATCTCTAAACAGTCTCTAGAAAATAAGCTGTCTGATCCCATTCAACAAGAACCTCTGTAAGAAGTTACATTATCAAGTCCCCATGAAATTCAGTCACTTATATACCATTTTTTTAAATAAATTTTTTATAAGATTTGTGTGTGTGTGTGTGTGTGTGTGTGTGTGTGTGGTACACAGGCCTCTCACCGCTGTGGCCTCTCCCGTTGCGGAGCACAGGCTCCGGACGCACAGGCCCAGCGGCCATGGGTCACGGACCCAGGCACTCCGCGGCATGCGGGACCCTCCCGGACCGGGGCACAAACCCGTGTCCCCTGCATCGGCAGGCGGACTCCCAACCACTGCGCCACCAAGGAAGCCCTTTATAAGATTTTTAAAATAAATTTATTTATTTTATTTATATTTATTTTTGGCTATGTTGGGTCTTCGTTGCGGTACATGGGCTTCTCATGGTGGTGGCTTCTCTTGTTGCAGAGCACGGGCTCTAGGGCCGCAGGCTTCAGTAGTTGCGGCATGCGGGCTCAGTAATCGTGGCTCGCAGGCTCTAGAGCACAGGCTCAGTAGTTGTGGCGCACAGGCTTAGTTGCTCCACGGCATGTGGTATCTTCCCGGACCAGGGCTCAAACCCATGTACCCTGCATTGGCAGGCGGATTCTTAACCACTGCACCACCAGGGAAGCCCTATATAAGATACTTTATTTAATCCTTACAAATGGCCGATGGGAGAGATATTACCAACCCTAATTTTTTTTAGAAAAACTAAGCTTTAAAGAGGTTTAGTAGTTTGTCCAAGGTCACAGCTGGAGAATGGAGCTAGGATTTTGAACCCAAATCTGCTTGGTTTTAATTCTACCATATTTGGAATTAACCTAGGGACAGAAATATGGTTCTTTGGTTTTGTCTATTCTTTTAAGCAGTGTGCAAGTAACCTAGCTACTTAGAGCTGAACACAAACTTATCTTTAAAGCTTGTATAAGAGAGTAGATTATCTACATTATAAAGCACATCGTAGTTGCCCTATGCATGTTAGCTGTTGTAATTCACAAGTCATACTGGAAAAAGTACCTTGATGTATGACCACCAATTGGGAGCTTTGCTGTTAATTGTGAAATTATTTCTCAATTCTTGTTTACAATAATATAAGTCCTCAGTCCATTAGGTAAATCCCTAGTTCGTTTAGATTCTGCTTGCGTACTTCTTTCAAACAACATCTTCCTTATATTGGTGTTTTGGAAGTCTTCATAATCAAAAGTAACCTGGATCACCAAAAAGCAAGCCCTCCAAGTTATTTAGAATGGGGAATTTCTCAAATTTGGCAGTATTCTTTCTAATCTGTTGACTATTAAAGAATACTTTAATGAGTATAGACATCTCCAAACTTAGAACCTCACTTCTAGAGTTCAATTACATAATTAAAAGTCAACAATCCAACACCAGATGTTTTGAATAGTTACTATCACCTAGAATTTAAAAGCACAATGAATAATATGTCTATAAAAGGTACAAAGTTCTGAAAATATAAACTTACCATTGCTGATGTTCTCTAAAAGCTTCTCTTCTGAGGTTTTCTTGAAGTCTCTTTTTCTCCTCTAGTTTATTGCTCTGAAATTTCAAGTATCAAAGTGTAATCTATTAGGAAAGCTTTAAGCAGAATCATGATGTTAAAGTTACCCAAGGTCCAAAATCTTTAGGCTCAAGTGGCCTCAGTGGTCCAATATGGTACCTACCAGGGCTTCCAAGGTGATAACCCTCTCACAACCCATGTGCCCTACACTGAAAGCCAGGGGCTCCAAGTTCTTTCCATGGCTCCCCTCTCCCAACTTGATTGGTATAATCACAGAATCAGTATTTCACATTTTTACCTTAGTTCAGATGATAGCAACATTTATATCTTAAGCAGTGTTTTCAAAATTTTCTAAGGAAAACATGAAACTTCCACACCAATCATGTTAAATTAAAATTATAATAAATGATTAAATAGATGATATAAAATATGTATATATATAAATGGTTAAAGAGTTGATACTACATATATATCTCCACATTACAATAAAGCATTCAGGAAAAGATTTTCAATAAGCCAATTCAATTCCCTTCTGACTTAGAATGAGATACTAAAAGCTGTTGAGAGACTGAACAGCAAATGTCCAAAAAAAGCCATCTACTTGAATAGAAGAATCGTCTCATTTTTTAAATTAGTTGTTTGGAGAGTCTAGAGATAAAGAACTTCACATTTGATATTACTGTCACCATGGCTCTGGCATATTTTAATCCAACTTAATAACCCAGAAACACTTGTGTTTTTTTACTATGATACAACTTTCATTTTTTTAAATTTGCCTGTGAAAAACAAGTAGACTTCCTAGACAACAAATTTAATGGGGAGTTGAAACAAGTTCTACAACACAGGAGAGACTTGAAGTTTTCATTGAATCCAAGGGAGAAGTCAAGCAGCTGGATTTGCTTTAAAAAAAAAAAAAAATGACTTGTCCCTTAAGAAGACCTGTGAAAAGGGAATAATAGAAATCGTCACTTCCAAACTCTAACATAAGTTTAGCTCCATCTTCCAAAGAGAGGAAAAAACCGTTCATATTGTTCATTTCCATGAAAGTCTTCATTCACACAGAACTATTTACTCATCCCATTTTGAAAGGTAAAATGGATGATTTCAGTTTCAGAAAAAACATAAAGGAAATTTACTACAATCCAAGAGAATTGTAATACAATTCAACTGTAATTCAATTATAATACAAGGCAACTGGATTATTAATGAATCACAGTTCTAAGAAGCAAACTAACAGAAAGTTGTACAACTGAATAAACATGATCACAATCTAGAAAAAAATCCTGACTCATGAGACCAAAAGTAGTCAATTGTGATGAGTTCCCCACATCTCTGGGGGAAGAAAAGGGGGCTGGGAGGTAAAACACAGCAAGCAAGCAAGCAGTAGGTATTGATTAAACCAGGATTAGAAATGCTACTTAGAGAACAGTGAGAAAATCACACAAGCATTTAGAGACCAGGGCTGGGTTCCTTTAGCAAGGTCAGAAATTGGAACATGGATTTTCATCTCTTCACTAATAGATTATCATTGGACTCAACTTACAAAAACAGTTACTCAGTAGCTAAATTCTATCCAACAAAGGTCTGTTTATCCCTCAAGAGTTGATGGAGAAGTATTTTGCAAAATGCTGGAGTATTTAAGTATTCAATACCTACCACTGTGGTAGCTGTTTTAATACAGTAATCCAAATACTTAGATTTAGTCAGACTACTTATTTCTTTCCATTTAACAGTGAGTTAAGGAATCACCCAACCATACTTATACATATACAAATACATAATATAAAAGATCTAAGAACGTGAGGTCCAGAAGAAAAAATATGGACTGAGTTCTAGGTCCACCATCACTGAGTGACCTCAAACAAATCATTTAATATCACTGAATCTCACGTATTCGACAAACATTTATCAAACGCCTATTATATGCTCAGTACTATGTTCTGTTAGATGCTGGGAATAAAAGCAGAGCAGTGCCTACTCTGGAAAGTTTCAGAAGCTAGCTGGGAACACAGACAAGAAAGCCATGATGGCAGTGTGTAAAATATATTAGGGAATAGAGGTTTGCAAGTATGTAATATGAGTACAAAGAAAAAGCACAGAAAGTGGGCAATTGGGAAATGCTTTCAACAGTTCCACAGACATTCATTCAGTGCCTTCTGTGTGTGGAGACCCCATCCTGGGTTAGGGTTAGGGTTAAGGTTAGCCAAAATTTGAATAACATTTGGAATATGGCTTCTAACCTCGGGTTCATGAATAAGCTGTCTGATAGGAGTATGCTCATTTTTATGGAGCGTGAGTCCATAGCTTTCTTCAGATTTCCCTAGGGGCTGATGACCAAATAAAAGGATAAGAACCATGGGTCTAATGAGAGGTAGAAATTCTAGATAGAGACCGATCTTAAGCAAGAACTTTCCAGGAGGAAAAGGAGGTGATGGGAGCAAGGCTACTGCACTCCACTGTATGGTTTCTTACTGCCCAGAGGCCTAGCAGAGAGGTTAAAAAGGCTGAAATAGAGGCAGCATTCAGCTTACCAAGGCTTGCATCCCAGCATGGGGTGTTTCAGCACAGCAGAGGTGTCTTCTTCTATTTCTCACAAAAGTACCATCTGTCACCAATCTGAGCACCCACAGAACTGACTGCCTGGATGAAGAATCTGTTTCTAATTTGCACAAAGGCAATGATGGGATAGTAGTGGCCCTGAATAGGAAAAGGGCATTCCTATAACATACAATATTTTCAATATAGAAAGGCAGAAGAGAATATGCCAGTTCAGGAAACCCCAAGAAGCTTGTGGATAAATTCAAAGGGGTATGTAGTGAGATGCGTGGAGGACAAGGTTGAGAAAGTAGGAAGAGGCAATTATAAAGAAATTCATATGCCAAGTAAAGGAGTTTGGACTTCATTAAAGGCAATGATGAGCCATTATGTTATTTTAAGCAGGATAGTAAGCCGCTCACCCTGAAAGCAACACGAAGGATAAGCCGCAGAAAGGACCACAAATATAAAAACCAATGGTGTGGTTCTCACGGTAATCCAGGCCATAAATTATGAGTTCCAAATTAAGACAACAGGGACAGAAAAGAAAGGACAAATTCTAGAAAAACGTGGGGGACAGAAATAAGAGTGTAAAAAGAAATAGTAGGAGGTAGGCTATATTAATATAGAATGAGTCAAAAAAGGGGGGAAGATTACTGGTGACTATCATTTAAGAGCATCAGAATGAATATGAGGTCAGTTTTGAACCTACTGGATTTGAGATACACTGTGGCATATCTAGCTGTGATGCTTGGCAGGGAGGAGTTGAAAGCAAACCAGAACAGAGACACTTTGTTTTTAAGATGAGAGATTTCAGTATGATTATACCCCAAGAGAGAAAAACAGAAACAACAAGAAAGCTACAGGAGAGGGCTTCCCTGGTGGCGCAGTGGTTGAGAGTCCGCCTGCCGATGCAGGGGACACGGGTTCGTGCCCCGGTCCGGGAAGATCCCACATGGCCCGTGAGCCATGGCCGCTGAGACTGCGCATCCGGAGCCTGTGCTCCGCAGTGGGAGAGACCACAACAGTGAGAGGCCCGCGTACCGCAAAAAAAAAAAAAAAGCTACAGGAGAAAAGGAGGGTTAACTGATGGAGCAGCAATGTTCCCGGGGAGAAGGAGGAAAGATGGGATGGGAAGCACGGGTGGGAGAATCCATCATAGCAAGAAGGGAGAGCACTTTTTTATTCCTGCTGAGATGAGACGGGGGCAGATACAGCAAAGGAAGAGTAAGGAAACAGAAAAATATAGGTACTTCCAGCCTTGTGGTCTTTATTCACTAGAAGGTGGGAAATGAGGTCATGTGCTGAAAACGAAAGGTGATGATAAGAAGAATGTGAAAGGAGGAAGATGTCGGTAATTAGAGATGAGCCTAGACTGCAAAGGAAAGTGCTGTGCACTAGGAATTGTTAAAGACCCAGCTGGGAGGGAAGCCCAGCAATCTCGTGTGACAGGAAGAGCCAGTGTGTTTTTTCTCCAGCAACCCAGTTCATGTGGGTTTATTTAATTTAGAAATAAATTAAACCAATCCAATTCATGTGTAAAATAAAAATCCTCTCTGCCTTCCACACAAGAGGTTGATATAATAGTAGAGTCAAATGAATTAGGGCACTTCTTTACATGTATAATTAGGTCAGGGCACCCTTTTTCACTGCTTACTGAGCGCTACCCATTGTACAAAGAGATTTGCACCTATTGTATCCTTTAATCCCACCAGTCCCATTATTATATTATTATACCCATTTTACAGCTAAGGAAAGTGAAACATAAAGAAGCTTACAGCTCACCCTTTTTTTTTTTTTTTTTTTTTTTGCAGTACGCGGGCCTCTCACTGTTGTGGCCTCTCCCGTTGCAGAGCACAGGCTCCGGACGCGCAGGCTCAGCGGCCATGGCTCACGGGCCCAGCCTCTCCACGGCATGTGGGATCTTCCCAGACCGGGGCACGAACCCCTATCCCCTGCATCAGCAGGCGGACTCTCAACCACTGCGCCACCAGGGAAGCCCTAGCTTACCCTTTTAGTACTACATCTGCATTTCAGAGATATCATTAACATCCCAAAATTATGGGATTAATAAATGGTGTCAATTAATGGGACCCTACTGCATTCCAACAACCAGAGGCTTAATGCCCACACCAGTTCATCCACAAAGAAATGCATGATGTAGGAACCATATTTCTGGGAAATACCTGAAAGTTTTGTTTTGTTCCTTGAAAGTTTTCAGAAATGGCAACTTTTCCCAGTTTATAAAAACAATATTGAAATAATTTCCTTGATGTTGAGTTTTATTCCTAAAACTGTTCTTAAACCGTTAGCCCTCACTAGTACTTGTTTCCTAGAAATAAGCAACAAGTGTGATTTCTTAAAAACATGTATATGGGGCCTCCCTGGTGGTGCAGTGGTTAAGAATCCGCCTGCCAATGCAGGGGACATGGGTTCGAGCCCTGGTCCGGGAAGATCCCACATGCCACGGAGCAACTAAGCCTGTGCACCACAACTACTGAGCCCGCGCTATAGAGCCACAACTACTAAGCCCATGAGCCACAGCTACTGAAGCCCATGCGCCTAGAGCCGTGCTCCACAACAAGAGAAGTCACCACAATGAGAAGCCTGCAAACCACAATGAAGAGTAGCCCCCGCTTGCTGCAACTAGAGAAAGCCTGCGCACAGCAACAAAGACCCAACGCAGCCAAAAATTAATTAATTAATTTTTTTAAAAAAACATGTATATGGATGCATCTCTGCATCTAATATGCATACCTTGTTTTCTATGCTAATAGGAAATGAAGTAGGTACAAAGTAGCTCCTACTTCATTTTATAACATTAAAACGAACTAATGATGCTTCTCAGTGTCTACGTAATACACCGTGACTTCCAGGGCTCCACATAACTTCATCAGCTTTATGACTTTATAGTTTACTGGAAAGAATAAGGAAAGGCTTCGTTTGCCACTCAGATCCCTAGCTGATTTCTTGCCCTTTCTGAGGTTATGATACCCTAAGAGGTTGGGAGAATCAAATGAAAGAATTTGTAAACTATATAGCCCTATATAATATGATTTCAAACATATGAGGGTCAAAGGCAGAAGAAGATGAATCCAGGAGGTAGGGAGGGTCTCTGACATGGAATTGGAGATTTTTATTTTTTAAGCTCGTGGGCACTATGAAAGTCTGGAAAAAAATCAAATTATTAGTCTGCCATACAGATCTCCAGGAAGAGAAATTAACACACTATAAAACCACATGAGTTGTATTAGTTTTCTATTGCTGCTATAACAACCATGAACTTAATAGCTTAAAACAACATAAATTTGTTAATAATCTTACAGTTCTGGAGGTCAGAAGTCCAAAACGGGTCTAACGGGGCTAAAATAATATATTGATGTTGAGGGAAATTGGCAGACTCCAGTACCAGTAGCAGCTGTTATGTCCACAAGGCTTTTAGGTAGCTAGCAATATAAGTCCCCTCCCAAGACTACAGCAGGGTTTTTACTTCTTCCTACCCCCACAATAAGGACTCTATTTCCAGAATCACATCTTCTGTTTGCATGCTCTGCTACCCTAAGATGTCAGTCATCTATTTGTTCAGTGTAGAAGTTAGGGGTACCATAGTTATGGTTTTGTAGCTCCTACCCATAGGTTTAGTCTCTTTTATCCAATGGCTTTTCTCTGCTTCAAGCCAACAATGGCAGGCTGAGTCTTTCTACTGCTGTATCTCTTCATGCTCTCAATCTTTTCTCTCCCTCTTCCGAGTTAAGGACCCTTATGATAACACTGGACCCACCTGAATAATGCAGGATACACTCTCTCTACTTGAAAGTAAGTTGATTAGCAACGTTAATTCCACCTGCAAACTTAGCTCCCCTTTGCCACGTGACAGAACATCTCCCTAGGTTCCAGGGATTAGAATGTGGAAGAGGAGGAGAGGGGGCATTTTTCTGCCTACCACATGGGTCGTAATCTATTTTTAAATCAGTAAGTATCAGACACATAATGTGCCGGATAATTCATAAAATCCTTGCCCTCGCTGCCAAGCCCTCTGAAGCTTGGTTTGGGAATGCGGCAGGGCCGGGGGCGGAGGCAGTGAAAGGAGGACCTCTTTCCTTTCGGGGCAAAGCAGGGGCATGCTGATAAGCTTACCAACCAGCTCTAGCAGGGAGGAGGAGGGGAGGTTGATTTGCAGCATTTACCAATTTCTGTGGTGAAAATGCTCCTCATGCTCAGTTTCAGTCTACCAACATGAAGTCCGCTAGCCCACAAAATAGAACAATCCACTCTCATGAGCCAGTACAAGGAGGCCCCAGTATGCCACTGGAAGAATACATAACATCAACATACTCTAATGTAGGGAATACAAGTTTAACTGAAGCATCCCAGTGCCCTCTCCAAAGTTCCCCTCAACCCACAGGGTTAACTCTTCCTGGATCCCATTGACACGGTCAGAGGCTAAAGAGCTGGCTGCCTTTCATACCTTTGTGCGTATTAAGGACCCATATGTGCTGGCAGGGAGTACAGTTTACTCTCCCCTCACCCACACACAGGTGGTGACCAATCAGAAAGAGACCCAGTGTTCCCTGGTGACCCCTCCTGGGAGAGGACAAACTGAAGGTCAAGGGGGATTAAGATCAAGAGGCCAAGTTAGAGGTTCTCGGGTGGCAACAGGCTCTTAGATTCGACTTGGCTTATAGTTCCTGGACAGCAGCCATTTGCCTGAGGGGGACAGTGGTATTTTGTAAGCTGGTGTCCATGTGTGTGTTTGCTGTGCATTTTAAGGAATAAATGCTCCATAAGCACAGCCATTATCGCTTCCCTTGGCCATTTTCACACTGGCAATGTGAAGTATGCTATTTCTAGGTGGCTAATGTCCATTTTTCTTTTATCTGACACAAGCTATTAAATGGGCTCACATTTAGTATGAAAGGCAACAGATTTATATACAACAGGGAGAGCTAGGTCAGGGTGGCAGTCCGGGCCAATTAGCCAGAGAAATCAAGTCTGTGGAAGGACCAGAGTGGGCTGCTGCTTCTCTTGTAAGGCAATTTAGATTAATGCTCCTCAAAGCGGTATGTGTACAAGAATCACCTGGCGAGCTTGTTAAAATGCAGGTTTTGTTTCAGAAGGTCTGGGGTGGGATTTGAGATTCTATATGTCTAATAAGTGATATCAAGGCTGCTGGTTCAAGGACCACATTTTGAATGAGATGGATCTATACGTAGCAACTCCCTCTCCCTACCTCTCACTTTTGGACAAATTTATACCAATAATCATTACACTTGTCAGGTTAGAAAAGTCAACCCAGTTAAGATTTCTGTAGTTAATGATTGATGTACATCTGGTGTTATAGTATAACTTGGAAAGGGAGGGAATGCTGCTTTTACTCAATATTAAAGAAAACTGTTTCAGCCACTAACATTTCTGAATAGTATACATAATTTGACCAAAGAAAAAATGAGCTATAAATGACCCACAAGCCAGCTAATAATGGGTATTAAATGACAACTAATAAATCACTTTTAGGATAAAAGTCTACAACACAATTCTTTAGTATCTGCAAGCCCCTTAATTAAATTTGATGACTTTCTTAGTTGCACCTGAAATACAGAATGATTATGCTATATAAAGAGAATACCTTCTCTACAATCACAAGACTGAAGTGTGAACTTTCCTTTGCAGGAAAAAATGGGGCAGATGGGGGGTTGAATGGAAAAGAGTGAGGAATAGAGAGGTAGAAAGAGAGAGAAAGACAGGTTTTGAAAAGTTATTATGAGAATTTTTTCAATGAAGGTATAATAGCTGATGACTTGGAAATGAACTGCTGAGTCAAATTTAGTAAACAAAGTGCCTATACTCTTTTTTTTTTTATACCTCCAGCATTTCAATTCCTCATGTATAAGTCCAGTCTTATCTCTACCCCAGAGCCTACATCTTTACAGATGTAGCATCTCTACAGATGTAGCATCTCTACATCTACACATGTTCCCAGCCTTGAGAGACAAGGAGGTGGGGCTTACAGACTCATTTTACAGGAATAGTTCAGAGAGGGGTAGGGGCCTGTCCAAGGTCACACAGCACAACAGGACACCTTGCAAGAAAGACTTAGTTTGCTCCCCAGCCAGGTAGAGAGCTCCTCGGGGAAAGAAAAGACTAACACTCCTGCACATTCCACAAGCCATCAGCTTTGGGCTTCACTAACTCTAGTAAAAATATCTATTGCTTGGTAACCAGGTTTAAATTTTGACCAATACTCAATCTTTAAGAGGAAAAAAAGAAAGAGAAGGATGAAGAGAGATACAGACAGCAAGAAAAAGAATTGTGTTTTCATGACTTAAACCTGCAGCAGATGTCATACTTGGTCAAAGGTATCATGAGTCAACCTCTTGCCCCCAGACCTCCAACACTTAAAACCTACTATAGCTTAGGACTTTGTGGGGGATGGGAGCAGGAGGGGGGAGTAATAGGGATAGAAGAACAGTACATCCTTCCTTCTCTAGCAAATGAGCATTTTTAAGAGATTTTCCCCCCAAGCCCCAGAAAGAGTATCAAAACTAAAAACATCAGTTTGAGGTTTGAAATAGATCATATCACTAATGCTGAAATGTAAATGCATGCTTTTTCTTTATCAGTGAGAGAGGTATGTTCACCTATTTAACACTCACCCTGGAAAATTCAATATTTGGATATAAATATGATGGTGTACCACTGGTGGCCGTTGTTACTAACTGCTGTGCCTTCCGGCCAAATACACAGCTACTCCTTTGATCACTTACCTGGGAGGCGAGAGAGTGTGAAGACAAAGAACTCTAGCTCTGAAATCAGTCAGACTGGATTCAAACCCTACTTCTATTTACTGGCTACGAGTCCTTGGGCAAGTTATCTAAACCTCTGTCAGTTTCATTTGCAAACTTGGGTAATAAGAATATTATACACTTCATAGGCTCTTGTGAGGATTAAATACTTTGTATATGAACAGTGTCTAGGAGAAAACCTGGCACATCAGAAGCCCTCAGTAAATGCTGACTCACCATTCTCTCCAATGTCTTACCTTTTGTCTCTGAACTGCCTTCATTTTTTGGATTTCGGCTTCTTCAGCTTCCCTCTTGATTCTTATACATTCTTCTCTTTTAAGCTAAATTGTATTGAGATTACAGAAGACAAAAAGCAGTTACTATTTTTCAGTCTGAACCAATGGAACACAAAATTATGATGAAAGGAAGAGCTTCAAGATGGCAGAAGAGTAAGACATGGAGATCACCTTCCTCCCCACAAATACATCAGAAATACATCTACATGTGGAACAACTCCTACAGAACACCTACTGAATGCTGGCAGAAGACCTCAGACCTCCCAAAAGGCAAGAAACTCCCCACGTACCTGGGTAGGGCAAAAGAAAACAGAGAGAGACAAATGAATACGGATGGGACCTGCACCAGCGGGAGGGAGCTGTGAAGGAGGAAAGGTTTCCACACACTAGAAGCCCCTTCGCGGGTGGAGACTGCGGGTGGTGGAGGGGGGAAGCTTCGGAGCCACGGAGGAGAGCGCAGAAACATGGGTGCAGAGGGCAAGGCGGAGAGATCCCCGCACAGAGGATTGGTGCTGACCAGCACTCACCAGCCCGAGAGGCTTGTCTGCTCACCCGCCGGGGCGGGCGGGGCTGGGAGCTGAGGCTCGGGCTTCGGTTGGAGTGCAGGGAGAGGACTGGGGTTGGCTGCGTGAACACAGCCTGAAGGGGCTAGTGCGCCACGGCTAGCCAGGAGGGAGTCCGGGAAAATGTCTGGAGCTGCCGAAGAGGCAAGAGACTTTTTCTTCCCTCTTTGTTTCCTGGTGTGTGAGGAGAGGGGATTAAGAGCACTGCTTAAAGGAGCTCCAGAGACGGGGAGGAGCCGCGGCTATCAGCGCAGACCCCAGAGACGGGCATGAGATGCTAAGGCTGCTCCTGCAGCCACCAAGAAGCCTGTGTGCCAGCACAGGTCACTATCCACACCCCCATTCCGGGGAGCCTGTTTAGCCCGCCACTGCCAGGGTCCCAGGATCCAGGGACAACTTCCCCGGTAGAACGCACGGCGCGCCTCAGGCTGGTGCAACGTCACGACGGCCTCTGCCACAGGCCCGCCCCGCACTCCGTGCCCCTCCCTCCCCCGCGGCCTGAGTGAGCCAGAGCCCCCGAATCAGCTGCTCCTTTAACCCCGTCCTGTCTGAGCAAAGAACAGATGCCCTCAGGCGACCTACACGCAGAGGCCGGGCCAAATCCAAAGCCGAACCCCGGGAGCTGTGCGAACAAAGAAGAGAAAGGAAAATCTCTACCAGCAGCCTCAGGAGCAGCGAATTAAATCTCCACAATCAACTTGATGTACCCTGCATCTGTGGAATACCTGAAGAGACAACGAATCACCCCAAATTGAGGAGGTGAAGTTTGGAAGCAACGATATATTTTTCTTTTCCCTTTTCCTCTTTTTGTGAGTGTGTATGTGTATGCTTCTGTGTGTGATTTTGTCTGTACAGCTTTGCTTTTACCATTTGTCCTAGGGTTTGGTCTCTCCATCTTTTTTTTTTTATATATAGTATAGTTTTTAGCACTTGTTATTATTGGTGGATTTGTGTTTTGGTTAGGTTGATCTTTCTTTTTATTACTTTAAAAAATATACTTTTAATTATTTTTTTATTTTAATAATTTTTAATTTTATTTTATCTTCTTCTTTCTTTCTTTCTTTCTTTCTTTCTCTCCCTTTTATTCTGAGCCATGTGGATGACAGGCTCTTGGTGCTCCAGCCAGGTGTCAGGGCTGTGCCTCTGAGGTGAGAGAGCCAACTTCAGGACATTTGTCCACAAGAGACCTCCCAGCTGCACATAATATCAAATGACGAAAATCTCCCAGAGATCTCCATCTCAATGCCAAGACCCAGCTTCACTCAACGACCAGCAAGCTACAGTGCTGGACATCCTATGCCAAACAACTAGCAAGACAGGAACACAACCCCACCCATTAGCAGAGAGGCTGCCTAAAATCATACTAAGGTTACAGACACCCCAAAACACACCACCAGACGTGGTCCTGCCCACCAGAAAGACAAGATCCAGCCTCATCCACCAGAACACAGGCACCAGTCCCCTCTACCAGGAAGCCTTACACAACACACTGAACCAACCTTAGCCACTGGGGACAGACACCAAAAACAACAGGAACTACGAACCTGCAGCCTGCAAAAAGGAGACCCCAAACACAGTAAGTTAAGCAAAAGCAGAAGAAAGAGAAACACACAGCAGATGAAGGAGCAAGGTAAACACCCAGCAGACCTAACAAATGAAGAGGAAATAGGCAGTCTACCTGAAAAAGAATTCAGAATAATGATAGTAAAGATGATGCAAAATCTTGGAAATAGAATGGAGAAAATACAAGAAACGTTTAACAAGGACCTAGAAGAACTAAAGAGAAAACAAACAGTGATGAACAACACAGTAAATGAAATTAAAATTCTCTAGAAGGGATCAATAGCAGAATAACTGAGGCAGAAGAACGGATACGTGACCTGGAAGACAAAATAGTAGAAATAACTACTGCAGAGCAGAATAAAGAAAAAAAATGAAAACAATTGAGGACAGTCTCTACGACGGTCTCTGAGACATTAAATGCACCAATATTTGAATTATAGGGGTCCCAGAAGAAGAAGACAAAAAGAAAGGGACTGAGAAAATATTTGAAGAGATTATAGTTGAAAACTTCCCTAATATGGGAAAGGAAATAGTCAATCAAGTCCAGGAAGCACAGAGAGTCCCATACAGGATAAATCCAAGGAGAAACACGTCAAGACACATATTAATCAAACTATCAAAAATTAAATACAAAGAAAAAAATATTAAAAGCAGCAAGGGAAAACAACAAATAACATACAAGGGAATCCCCATAAGGTTAACAGCTGATCTTTCAGCAGAAACTCTGCAAGCCAGAAGGGAGTGGCAGGACATCTTTAAAGTGATGAAGGGGGAAAACCTACAACCAGGATTACTATACCCAGCAAGAATCTCATTCAGATTTGACAGAGAAATTAAAACCTTTACAGACGAGCAAAAGCTAAGAGAGTTCAGCACCACCAAACCAGGTTGACAACAAATGCTAAAGGAACTTCTCTAGGCAGGAAACACAAGAAAAGGAAAAGACCTACAATAACAAACCCAAAACAATTAAGAAAATGGTAACAGGAACATACATATTGATAACGACCTTAAATGTAAATGCATTAAAGGCCCCAACCAAAAGACACAGACTGCCTGAATGGATACAAAAACAAGACCCATATATATGCTGTCTACAAGAGACCCACTTCAGACCTAGGGACACATAAGACTGAAAGTGAGGAGATGGAAAAAGATATTCCATGCAAATGGAAATCAAAAGAAAGCTGGAGAAGCAATTCTCATATCAGACAAAATAGACTTTAAAACAGTGACTATTACAAGAGACAAAGAAGGACACTACATGATGATGAAGGGATCAATCCAAGAAGAAGATATAACAATTGTAAATATTTATGCACCCAACAAAGGAGCACCTCAATACATAAGGCAAATAATAACAGCCATAAAAGGGAAAATCAACAGTAACACAATCACATTAGGGGACTTTAACACTCCACTTTTACCAATGGACAGATCATCCAAAATGAAAATAAATAAGGAAACACAAGCTTTAAATGATACATTAAACAAGATGGACTAAATTGATATTTATAGGATATTCCATCCAAAAACAACAGAATACACTTTCTTCTCAAGTGCTCATGGAACATTCTCCAGGATAGATCATATCTTGGCTCACAAATCAAGCCTTGGTAAATTTACGAAAATTGAAATCGTATCAAGTATCTTTTCCAACCACAACGCTATGTGACTAGATGTCAATTACAGAAAAAACTCTGTAAAAAATACAGACACATGGAGGCTAAACAATACACTATGTAATAACCAAGAGATCACTGAAGAAATCAAAGAGGAAATCAAAAAATACCTAGAGACAAATGACAATGAAAACACGACAATCCAAAACCTATGGGATGCAGCAAAAGCAGTTCTAAGAGGGAAGTTTATAGCTATAAAAGCCTACCTCAAGAAATAAAAAAATTTCAAATAAACAATCTAACCTTACAGCTAAAGGAACTAGAGAAAGAAGACCAAACAAAACCCAAAGTTAGCAGAAGGAAAGAAATCATAAAGATCAGAGCACAAATAAATGAAATAGAAACAAAGAAAACGATAGCAAAGATCAATAAAACTAAAAGTTGGTTCTTTGAGAAGATAAACAAAATTGAAAAACCATTAGCCAGACTCATCAAGAAAAAAAGGGAGAAGGCTCAAATCAACAAAATTAGTAATGAAAAAGGAGAAGTAACAACTGACACTGCAGAAATAAAAAGGATTATGAGAGATTACTACAAGAAACCCTATGCCAATAAAATGGACAACCTGGAAGAAATGGACAAATTCTTAGAAATGCACAACCTTCTGAGACTGAACCAGGAAGAAACAGAAAATATGAACAGACCAATCACAAGCACTGAAATTAAAACTGTGATTAAAAATCTTCCAAGAAACAAAAGCCCAGGACCAGATGGCTTCACAGGCGAATTCTATCAAACATTTACAGAAGAGCTAACACCTATCCTTCTCAAACTCTTCCAAAATATAGCAGAGGTATGAACACTCCCAAACTCATTCTACGAGGCCACCATCACCCTGATACCAAAGCCAGACAAAGACATCACAAAGAAAGAAAACTACAGGCCAATATCACTGATGAACATACATGCAAAAATCCTCAACAAAATACTAGCAAACAGACTCCAACAGCACATTAAAAGGATCATACACCATGATCAACTGGGGTTTATCCCAGGAATGCAAGGATTCTTCAATATACGCCAAGTCACTCAATGTGATACACCATATTAACAAACTGAGGAGAAAAACCATATGATCATCTCAATACATGCAGAGAAAGCTTTTGACAAAATGCAACACCCATTTATGAAAAAACCTCCAGAAAGCAGTCATAGAGGGAACTTACCTCAACATAATAAAGGCCATATATGACAAACCCACAGCCAACATCGTTCTCAATCGTGAAGAACTGAAACCATTTCCTCTAAAATCAGGAACAAGACAAGGTTGCCCACTCTCACCACTATTATTCAACATAGTTTTGGAAGTTTTAGCCACAGCAATCAGAGAAGAAAAAGAAATAAAAGGAATCCAAATTGGAAAAGAAGAAGTAAGCTGTCACTGTTTGCAGATGACATGATACTACACGTAGAGAATCCTAAAGATGCTACCAGAAAACTACTAAAGCTAATCAATGAATTTGGTAAAGTAGCAGGATACAAAATTAATGCACAGAAGCCTCTTTCATTCCTATATGCTAATGATGAAAAAACCGAAAGAGAAATTAAGGAAACACTCCCATTTACCATTGCAACAAAAAGAATAAAATACCTAGGAATAAACCTACCTAAGGAGAAAAAGGACCTGTATGCAGAAAACTATAAGACACTGAGGAAAGAAATTAGATGATACAAATAGATGGAGAGATATACCATGTTCTTGGATTGGAAGAATCAACATTGTGAAAATGACTATACTACCCAAAGCAATCTACAGATTCAATGCAATCCCTGTCAAACTACCACTTGCATTTTTCACAGAACTAGAACCAAAAAAATTTACAATTTATATGGAAACACAAAAGACCCCGAATAGCCAAAGCAATCTTGAGAAAGAAAAATGGAACTGGAGGAATCAGGCTCCTGGACTTCAGACTATATTACAAAGCTACAGTAATCCAGACGGTGTGGTACTGGCACAAAAACAGAAATATAGATCAATGGAACAGGATAGAAAGCCCAGAGACAAACCCATGCACATATGGTCACCTTATCCTTGATAAAGGAGGCAAGGATATACAATGGAGAAAAGACAGCCTCTTCAATAAGTGGTGCTGGGAAAACTGGACAGCTACAAGTAAAAGCATGAAATTAGAACACTCCCTAACACTCAAAATGGATCAAACACCTAAATGTAAGGCCAGACACTATCAAACTCTTAGAGGAAAACATAGGCAGAACACTCTATGACATAAATCACAGCAAGATCCTTTTTGACCCACCTCCTAGAGAAATGGAAATAAAAACAAACAAATGGGACCTAATGAAACTTATAAGGTTTTGCATAGCAAAGGAAATCATAAACAAGACGAAAAGACAACCCTCAGAATGGGAAAAAATATTTGCAAATGAAGCAACTGACAAAGGATTAATCTCCAAAATTTACAAGCAGCTCATGCAGCTCAATATCAAAAAAACAAACAAGTCAATCCAAAAATGGGCAGAAGACCTCAATAGACATTTCTCCAAAGAAGATATACAGATTGCCAACGAACACATGAAAGAATGCTCAACATCATTAATCATTAGAGAAATGCAAATCAAAACTACAATGAGATATCATCTCACACCAGCCAGAATGGCCATCATCAAAAAACCTACAAACAATAAATGCTGGAGAGGGTGTGGAGAAAAGGGAACCCTGTTGCACTGTTGGTGGGAATGTAAATTGATACAGCCACAATGGAGAACAGTATGGAGTTTCCTTAAAAAACTAAAAATAGGGCTTCCCTGGTGGCACAGTGGTTAAGAGTCCGCCTGCAGATGCAGGGGACACTGGTCCATGCCCCGGTCCGGGAAGATCCCACATGCCACGGAGCGGCTAGGCCCGTGAGCCATGGCCACTGAGCCTGCGCGTCCAGAGCCTGTGCTCCGCAACGGGAGAGGCCACACCAGTGAGAAGCCCACTTACCTAAAAAAAAAAAAAAAAAAAAAAAAAAAAACTAAAAACTACCATACGACACAGCAATCCCACTACTGGGCATATACCCTGAGAAAACCATAATTCAAAAAGAGTCATGTACCACAATATTCATTGCAGCTCTATTTACAATAGCCAGGATATGGAAGCAGCCTAAGTGTCCATCAGCAGATGAATGGATAAAGAAGATGTGGCACATATATACAATGGAATATTACTCAGCCATAAAAAGAAACGAAATTGAGTTATTTGTAGTGAGGTGGATGGACCTAGAGTCTGTCATACAGAGTGAAGTAAGTCAGAAAGAGAAAAACAAATACCGTATGCTAACACATATATATGGAATCTAAAAAAAAAAAAAAATGGCCATGAAGAACCTAGGTGCAACATGGGAATAAAGACGCAAACCTACTGGAGAATGGACTTGAGGATACGGGGAGGGCGAAGGGTAAGATGGGACAAAGTGAGAGAGTGGCATGAACATATATACACTACCAAATGTAAAATAGATAGCTAGTGGGAAGCAGCCGCATAGCACAGGGAAATCAGCTTGGTGCTTTGTGACCACCTAGAGGTTGGGATAGGGAGAGTGGGAGGGAGATGCTAGAGGGAAGAGATATGGGGATATATGTATATGTATAACTGATTCACTTTGTTATAAAGCAGAAACTAACACACCATTGTAAAGCAGTTATACTCCAATAAAGATGTTAAAAAAAATTATGATGAAAGGCAAATTACAGTATTTTTTGTGCTATAGCGCGCCATGATTATAGGTTGGTTCTTCAAGCTACTTAGATCACAGAGGATGGTCAGGACACATTTGCTGCCCATGAAATTTTTTGTGTTTCTTCCTTGGTCTCTGTCTTTCTGTCTCCTCTGTCCCCAACCCACCTCCACCAGGTTGGAGAGAAGAAAGGGCAGATAATTTTTGCTAATTATAAAACTCAGAGTTTACTGTTAAAAAAAAAAATTGCTGGAATATTAAAAATTTTTGTAGTACTTTCAGGACTGGAATGGAGTAAACAAATCCATGTTCTTGGAAACTGAATATTCTAAACATAGTAGAGACTTAAACTAGGGGGGAAAAAAACCCCTTTACCAAAGGTCTCACTGACTGATAGACAGCTTGGGTGAGAATTTGCAGTATTTATCCCTTCACTTCTCACATCCTGACTTCTTTGATATCTGAGACTTTCCTTTGCAGTTTGTTTGAAGGTTTTATGCTTTTGGTAAAGTTACTGTGTTATTTCAAGGTTACTTTCAAAGTGCTGGTACTCTAATTTATTGCCAAATTTAAGCTAAAAGAGATGGATTCTGACCTTTTTCTGGTATTTAGATTGTATCAGTTGAAGTTGTTGTCTCTGCCTGACTTCAACCTCTGACTGGTTTCCACCTAAGGGGAAAAAAAGTCATGAAGGTGAAACATGAATGTTAAGCTGAATTGTCAGCCATCAAAGACTAATTAAATACATGATAAGTCTACACCATGAGTTTCTTTAACATTTTCATACCCCTGGAAATAAGGACATAACTGAAACCGAGTTCCTCTGCCGAGTTTATGATTAACGTCTCCACCCAAAACGTTACTCCCTTTCTTGTCCAACACCTGTTCTCCTCAAGGTTAAGGAGTATCAAAGAAAAGGGGGAACTGTAACTGAGCAAGACCCTATGGGTTCTTCCCGGGACAGACCCCTCTCCTGTATCCTCTGCTTTAGCTCCTCCCTGAAGTACCTAGAGAATAGTACCTGATGCACATTTCCTGAGTTGTTTTACAGATGCTAAAACCAACATCAAATGGAAGATGTAACCACGTGATGGCCATGAGCACACAGCCCCCAAGCCTTCTGGAGCCTAAGGATTGATAATGTTAACCCCTGTGACACAGCCAGCCCTGTTACCTCACCGTCAACCAATCAGAATTGTGCACAAGCTGATCACTCCCCTCCCTCACCTGGCCTTTAAAAATGCTCTCCTGAGACCCATCGGGGAGTTCAGGTTTTTTGAGCACTAGCTGTCCCCAACTCCGTGGCTTATGATGCCTTACTGCACCGCACTTCCCTTCACCACAGCCCAGTGTCAGTAGCTTGGCTTTACTGCGCATGGGTGAGCAGGCCCAAATTTGGTTCGGTAACATAACCAGTTTTTTAAATAAGACATTAAACAATAGTAATTGCATAAAAGAGAAAGAGCTGGACAGAAAGATAAGGCCATATTCCCCCAAGAAGAGGACAATGCTACTAAGGTTTTTCAATCACGTAGGTATTCAAGTTTTTCTTTAGACTGAAATCACACCTGAAGGTCCATGCTAAATAATAAGAAATAGTGCTCTGGAAATTCCAGAACATTCTTTCTGCTAGAGTATGACCATTCCTTAACCTAATAAAGATGATGATCAGTGATGCTTCCAATGTTTTTCTTCTTCTGACTCTATTGCCCTGTATTCAAGTAACGAAAGCTCAGGAAAGCCTCAGAGGTCTTGCCATGAGACGAGTATACAGTCTTTATAACGCAGTTTTTAAAAGTACAATGGGAATATTCTAATTAAAATTGATTGTCAATCCATACTATTTATTGTTCTTTTCTTTAGGTGTTCAAGAGAAAAATATGGATGTTAGGTCATTCGTCTGCTCTCTCTTAAACCTATAATAACTGGGGGCCAGAAATCCTTGCAATTTGACAATCATCTAAGAATTACTGTTTAGGGATTTCTCAGTGTTTATGCAAGCTTGGCGTGCATATTTTAAAGATTCCTTTGAAATAATTCTCCGGTGAATTGGTCACTAAAATTGTCAGTTCTCTGAAAGATTCACTTGCACAGAAGATGCAGTAAAACAATTGCATTCATCATAGTTGTTATAATTGAACAGATAAAGACACCACAGAGACTTCTGAGTCCCAAAAGCTCTATAATACCTGTATGGTCTTGGCCCTAAGGAAAGAAACAGTGAGGGCTATTGAGGCTTTTATCTAATGTTACAGGCACTTTCAGTATCTCCTAGAACCATTCCAATATTTTACGGGGTAGAGGAATAGAGGAGGAGTTGAGAATTTAAAAATGGAGACAGTTGGACGTTCCTGGCAGTCCAGTGGTTAAGACTCCATGCTTCCACTGCAGGGGGCACGGGTTCAATCCCTTGTCAGGGAACTAAGATCCCACATGCCACGTGGCGTGGCCAAAAAATTTAAAAATTAAATTAAAAAATAAAAATGGAGAAAGATGGATAAGCATTTGCAGGTTTTCTTTAAAACTCATCTCAAAGTTTAAAACATTCTAGAATTCTTTTCTACTCGCTACCCTCTTCCCCCTTGACCATTCCTAGGTACACCATATAGCAGAACTCCTGCTCTTTTTTGGTTAAGGCCCCAAGACAGTAGGCACCAACAACTCCAAACCCCCAAGGCAAGTACTTGGCTCCCTAGGCAGGATCTGCAAGGGTGTAACTGAAAACCAGTTTGGGGAACCTTAATTGGCAACTACCTTCAGTCTATAAAAGAGGTTAGCTACGTCAAAGGAAGGTAGAAATCAGGGAAAAGATGTCTTTGTGAATTTCATCTTCTCTGTGTATGTGTGTTTGGGGAAGGAGGAATCTTCACATCAATGTAAGTAAGAGAGATTTAATGAAAATCACTTGAAGGGCTCAATCTGTGTCCCCAAGAGACTGAGGGACCTCGTGGACCCATGCTTAGGAAGGTCAGAACAAAAAGGCACATGGCTGTTCTCATGTGGCTACTCAGACTGGTCATAAAGAAAAGATGGCTGCAGGGCAAGTGGCCTGTATTCCCAGAGTTTGTGGGAAGAATGCACAAGTGTTTCCTGCACTCCCAATCTGGTTGTCATGAAAGAGAATGCCAATCTAACGTCATCTTAAAGGGGCTTGCCCTGGATTTCCCTGGCAGTCCAGTGGTTAAGACTCTGCACTTCCACTGCAGGGGGCGCGGGTTCGATCCCTGGTTGGGGGACTAAGATCCTGCATGCCGCACGGCATGGCCAAAAAACTTAAAAAGGGCCTTGCCCATGTGGGCCACCCAGAGGTACAATGGAGCTCTACAGAGATAGTCCAGCTACCAAGAGCCAGCGGTGAAGCCAAGCACTGCCAGCAGGAAAAAGTATCATATCTATCAAGGAAGTCCAGGTGAGAGATGGCTGGCAGGCAAGGAGGGACTCTGAAGAACTCCAAGAACCCCAGGGGCGAGATGCACAGTAAACACACACCAAAACTTGAAGAAACTGGGATCGGTGCACTATGGACCCTAACCTCTCCTTCTCCCTTTCACCCATGAGGGGTAAGAATGTGGGAACAGTGGAGTCAATAGTGAAAAATTCAGCCACACCCCATTTCCTTTGCCCACTCTCTATCCAAAACAGACCTGGGCTGGAGCAGGGAAGAAGCTTTAATCTCTATCAGTAACAGAGTTTTGATCAGTATTTAGGACTAAACTTAATTACTGAAATGACACTGTTTTTATGCCTAGAATTAGCTGGACAACTTTATTATTTGAGAAATACCAAAAAAATCTAATCTCATCCGAAGAACATAAGAAAAAGTAGACCCACATAGCTGGTGTGAGGGGGCCAGTTAGGAAGGACAAAGCTCTCTCCAGGTTGCACCCCTCAAATGCAGCTTACTCAGCAAAAAGGTGACACGAGATTAACCCCTCTCATGAAATACAGCGGGATGATAATGATAACACTATTACTTGCACTCACTAAATGATTACCAAATTAGGTTATTTTCACCTACATCTTGGAAAAAAATACTTCTTGACAACTACTATGAGGGACTTCCCTGGCAGTCCAGTGGTTAAGACTCTGCACTTCCACTGCAGGGGGTGTGGGTTCAATTCCTGGTAGGGAAACTAAGATCCCGCATGCCACACAGTGCAGCCAAAAAAATAAATAAATAGATAAAAAACACTGTGAGAGTAAGTGGCCTCTGACTCGTAACACATTGGTGTGAACTAAATCTGTGTGTCTAGCCCTTTAAGCTCTCAGCTGCTACTGGAAGAGAAAAGAGAAGATGTGAATGATTCCCATTAGAGGGCTTCCCCGTTGAATTATTCAAACACCAGGCAAAGGCAGCACAGACAATTCATCACACTGCCACGTGTTCCAGAGGCCCAAAAGTCTCTATTTGCGAATTAAAACACAGGCGATGTTCTCTTTATACCCACCCTGTGTCCCCAGCTCACTCGCATCTTAGTGTTGGAATTGACTCTCCATTCATTCTTTTTCCCATAACCAGTTAACTGCCATGATTAATATGCTTGTGATAGCACTAATCAGGATGGGAACAAAAGCTACGACAGGGCATATGCAGCGCCCCAGGTAAGATTTCTTCAGAGCTGATCAACTAAGAGGCTTTAAATTATTTGGCAATTAAGCCATCCTTCTATGCCCACATTAACTGTGGCATCATCCCTTTGCTACTTGCAGAAAATCAGAAACAACAGTATACCTGCATACTTTTGACTTTAAGTGCATGTTTCGACATTAAATGCATTCCATTTCAAGCAGCACAATGGTCCAATGACCTATAACGTACATTGAAAGACAGATGTGGGCAAGGTGCTAACAGGATCCTTGGGTGGCCCTGTCCTTCCGCATTCAAACAACTGGCTTGCTGGCTTACCTAGCTGCATGGGTGCCAGGTTAATGGGCTTCGTCCTTTGTTGCTCCTTCCACCTCTTCAGGTCCTCCAGCTCTTTTGCAGCCACTAAGCCAGGTGAGAAATATCAAATCATCAATTATTAGAGCATGAAAAGGGAAATGCTCCCTTGAAAGCATAACAAACCACCATCAGATGGACAATTAACTACATGCAAGCATGAGTGGACGAGATATCCAGGAAAGGAAGACACCACCCACCCAGTCCTAACCCCTTGGAGTCACCCTAAGGCACTTTCTCTCCAAGAGTCTGCACAGAAGGTTCAAATTTGAAAACAGGGGCTTCCCTGATGGCGCAGAGGTTAAGAATCCACCTGCCAATGCAGGGGACGTGGGTTCAAGCCCTGGTCCGGGAAGATCCCACGTGCCACGGAGCAACTAAGTCCGTGCGCCACAACTACTGAAGCCCATGCACCTAGAGCCCTTGCGCCTAGAGCCCGTGCTCCACAACAAGAGAAGCCACTGAAATGAGAAGCCCGCACACCACAACGAAGAGTAGCCCCCGCTCGTAGCCCCCGCTCACCGCAACTAAAGAATGTCCGCACGCAGCAACAAAGACCCAACGTAGCCAAAAATAAATAAATTTTTTTAAAAAATTGAAAACAACCTGAACTCCTACTAAATAAAGAAGTTCAGTTTTTCCTCCCACTCTGGCATTTTTCAAACCCTATATCATTTAATGTTAAAAGTTTCCTATAGAGAGTGTGTGCAAAACATTCATGTGTCAATAAGAACTTTTCACACACAGTAAACACAAATCCCCATAAAATTCTAATGCCCGTATTCACTTTATTTTAAATATTCCCCAAGCTTAATGTAACGAGGAACGAGGCCTCTCAGATTCCTGGCACTTGGAACCACTAGGCTGAGCCTACTCCATGTAGAGCAGTGCTCATTCCCCAAATATACACTGACTGGCAGCAGGGGGCGCCAGAGATACTAGTTCTGTTCTTCCAATGTATGCCCGAATCTCATTAGAAGTGATTATTTCAAACGTCCATTTATAATATTTTTTCATTATTAGAGGGAAAAAAAACTTTCTGAAACATCTCAAAAATCCAGACTGCACTGAGGCTTAAATTCCTGTTAACTATTTAAATCAAAAACTTGTAAAATGCCAGAATCTTTGGGATTCCGTTGGTCACCTGCAGGCAGCGCCCACAGTCACTGTGTTAGCATAGCTGTGATTGTCATACTCTGCACAGACTCCGATGTACCACCCAGGGGCCTACCTGTCCAGTGGAGACCTTTATGGAGCTGCTTTCCTGCTGTGCCCTTATGTCCATTGGTCATTACAAAATTAAATTTCCTATTAAGATCAAGATAGGAGAGGCACAGAATCTCAGTGCTAGCCCCACAGTTGACTTGAACAAGCCTCAGAACTTCTTTGTGAATTAAATGAACTTTAGTTCTCCTTCCAACTCTAAGGTATAATACTGTAACTTTAAAGGGTAGCATTTATTTTACTGTACAACTTCAGTTAAGCATGCTATATGCCCACTAGGTACAAGGAGCACAAAAACAAGTAAGATGTAGCCCCTGCCCTCAAAGAGCTTATAATCTAAAGAAGGAAAGTGAAGTCACAAATAAAAACAGCTGAGGGTAGACTCTGATAGTTACAAAATTATGGGAATACAGAGACTGAAAAAAAAAATTCCATTAAGAAGGAATGGGACAGGGACTTCCCTGGTGGCGCAGTGGTTAAGAATCCGCCTGCCAATGCAAGGGACATGGGTTCGAGCCCTGGTCCAGGAAGATCCCATATGCTGTGGAGCAACTAAGCCCATGCGCCACAACTACTGAGCCTGAGCTCTAGAGACCACGAGCCACAACTACTGAGCCCATGTGCCACAACTACTGAAGCCCACACCTAGAGCCCGTGCTCCGCAACAAGAGAAGCCACCCAATGAGAAGCCCAGGAACCGCAACAAAGAGTAGCCCCAGCTCACCGCAAGTAGAGAAAGCCCACGCACAGCAACAAAGACTCAACGCAGCCAAAACTAAAAATTTATAAAAAAGGAATGGGACAGGTCTAGAAAGAGACAGATTATTTTATAATCTATTTCATATATGACTTGTCTCTTTCAAAAGTGTTCCAAGTCCTGTAAGGACATCTGCAGTGAGCCGAATTTTACAGGAACTTGATAGGTGTGAAACTGTTTAAGCCCAACAGAAACCTCAGGTTTATAACCGTGCAATGAGCTCTGCTATTAACACAGAGAAACAAATTTAGAAGCACTAAAATAGAATAATTTTAAAAGGTATAATTAAAACTGCCAAAGTTGGGCTTCCCTGGTGGCACAGTGCTTAAGAATCCACCTGCTAATGCAGGGGACACAGGTTCGAGCCCTGGTCTGGAAAGATCCCACATGCTGGGGAGCAACTAAGCCCGTGAGCCACAACTACTGAAGCCCGCGTGCCTAGAGCCCGTGTTCCGTGACAAGAGAAGCCACCGTAGTGAGAAGCCCGCGCACCGCAATGAAGCGTAACCCCCGCTCGCCACAGCTAGAGAAAGCCCACATGCAGCAACGAAGACCCAACGCAGCCAAAAATAAATTTAAAAGAAAATTATGAATAAAGTAACAAAAACTGTAGTTTAAAAACAAAAAAAAGAAAATGAGAAGTATTTTGAATGGTAAATAATATACATACTCCGTTGCATCTCATTTCTTCGTTTTTCATTTGGTATTATCAAGGTATATGCACCTGTGCTAGAATGAAGAGAAAAAAATGGATTATCTTGAGAAATTATTAATGCATATAAAGCACCATACATTCTTTCTGATAATATACTATATTTATGATCATCACCATCAAATAGGTACTAGGAAAGATAATATTCCTTTTAAGACCCAGGTGTGTTCTCCAGGAGCTTACAATCTATCTGGTAAACTAAAACAAGTGCACACGGCCACATATGGAAATATAAAGCAGTTGATGGAGAATGACAAGTGACTTCTTCAGGGTCAGCTCTTGGTAAACTGTCTTTGTAGGGATCCGCTATGCCTCCAGGTGGCGCTCATGGGCACATCCCTTTGAGATGACTGGCATTCTCTTCCATGTCACCCACTACAGGAGTACAGGAAACACTCTCACATTTTTGGCTCCCACACACTGGGCGTAGGGGGCCATCTGCAATGCAGCCACCTCCTCCTGATGACCCATCTGAGTGGCCACATGGCCACAGTCTTGTGTTTTGGGGCTTTGACTTCTAGGCAGGGGTCTGCTGGGCCCCTCATTCTCCTGGGGACACAGGTCGAGCATAATCAGGAGTTCAGAGAAGTAAGGAGTCACTTCAATTCTCTGGGGTGGGGGGGGGATGGGGAGCGGGGACCAGGGACCAGGGAAGACTTCACTTAAGCAAAAATATTCACCACTAAGGTTCAAGAAGTTGTTAGAATATTGTGAGCTTTTGAGGGCAGAAATGGTGCTTGAGGGATCCATATATGCCCAGCCCCTGGCACAAAGTAGCTGCTCGATGAATGTGGGCTGAATTGAAATGAAATGATGCCAGAGACCCAGTCCATGAGTCTGTGCTGGGGGGTGGCTCTTTGTGATGATACACGTAGTCCCACAGAAGTATGAATACTTCATAGAGCAGAAACATAAGCACAGCAAGACTGCAGCGTACATGCAGGTACAGTGTGAGGGGAAATGTTACAGATAAATACAATCAGCTTATAAATGTAGGTCTTTTTAAAAAAATCCCAGATACTCTTAGAAGTCTTTGTCCAACACGAAACATACAGTTTCAAAGGACAAATTAGCAAAGATTGAATAGTAGAGGCCAAAAGCTCTGATTAACAGAAGCCATTTCTTCCTTATCTCATTTTCCTAGCAGTAAGCCTTCAGCCAGCTTCAAACTGGGCTTTAATTTTCAAGTTGCACATGGGAGGTGTGCAACCACCTCTGCATGCAAACAGGGCTGCTGGATGCCCAATTACCTAACGTATATCAGCAGACGTTGCATGTGTAGCCTAGCACGCGTACAATGGGATGAATACAAAATTAGGAGGCTGCCGCTGGAAATTAATCCCCTGTCCATTGCATATTCTTTGTTCACCCTCAGAAAGATTTTTCACCCCTCAGTTGTCCACAGTTTATAGAAGCTTAGGAGCTTCAGTTCTGTGGGTAGTACCTGCAAACTTGAGTATGATGCAATAGTGAGCCATTCTTCAGAGCCTTAAAGATGAAACGAGACACTGGATTTAAATGCCAACCATGAAATGACTGCAGAATCATCAATGTCCGTTAACATTGTGGTATGGAGCTTCTCACCATACCAGGGATTTGACTACACTGCAAATCAGTAGTTCTTAAACTTCAGCATGCATCAGAATCACTTGGAGGGCTTGTAAAATGTTGAGTTTCTGATTCAGTAGGTATGGGACGGGGGGCATCTATAACTTGCATTTTTAACAGTTCCCAGATGATGATGGTACTCTTGACCTGGGGACCACACTTGGAGAACCAGTGCTGTAGATCAATCAAGCTGTCTTCAAACATTTGGACTAAAAGGGAATTGAGGGATTAATAAATCATTGATAAAGACACAGACGTTAAATCATATGCCAAAGATCATGAGGTTAATTAAGCAATAGTGCTGAGACTCAAACCAAGCACTTTTGACTTAGACCAGGTGGGTGTCTGGAGCTAAGTATTCAGCTCAATGTAGAAAACATAAAATATGACTGTCCTTAACTTCGGCCTCTTAACAGACTTCCAAACAAAGTAAATCTACTTAGCCAAGCACCCATTATGGACTTGTTATGTTAGGGGCTTATGAGGCATGAGGGGAGATACAAAAAAACAGACACCAACCCCTTTAACAGAGCTTACACTTTAATTAGGAACAATTCATAAAACCACCAGAGCAGACCACAAGGATATTCAAACAAGCCTCAAAGTGGGATGATGGAAGTAGTCAGAGATGCAAGGTGGAGGGGAGTCAGTGAGACCCCAGAGGAGTAGAAAATTTCAGAGAAGAATAGCAAGTTGAGGCTTAAAGGATAGGATCTCAAGGGGCAAAAAGGGTTTCTGTGCTAGCACTTTGCTAAGAGAAGCTTCACAGAGAATTTTCCAAGTTCCATGAATCTCTCTTACGAAAATATCAGGAAAGGTCTGAAAAGAAAAAACAGTTTGTAAAAGTTTTTATTCTGCAATATCTAATCCGATTGTCACAATATCACACTAGAATCTTTCGTCTTAGGAATAGTTCTGTGGTCAATCTATGGCCAACATGTGTAGCCGACAAGTACCCAGACAATACAGGGCCGTGAAAAAAGGGGGAGAATTATCTAGCCTTGAAATCAGAGGCTTTTAATCGAAAACATTTAAACATAACCCCAGGCTCAAGGACAGTGGTCACAGTAATAAATGTTTTATGTTAGAGAATTCCTTAGCAACCTTCTTAGCAATATTTTATTGGCTGAAAATGTCAAATCTGAAATATTCAGAAGAAAGCATTGCCAAATAATGGAGCCTCTATTCCTCTTCCTTCCTATAGGAAGAGGAGCTTAAGTCTCAGGATTGGCTTTTTATTTTTTAATATCCTGTGGCAGTGCATAATGCCTGGGTAGATACAAATATTCATCCTTTCTCTCTTAGCTTTCCCTTGACGTGAATAACAAGTATAACTTATTCATGCTTTCAGCCAAGTAGTTTCCACCCACAGCAAGGGCCTCTGCTGTTTTAACCTCCATGTCATTCCTTTCAACAGCCTGACTCTCTTTTTTTTTTCTTTTTTTTTTTTCCGGTACGCGGGCCTCTCACTGTTGTGGCCTCTCCCGTTGTGGAGCACAGGCTCCGGACGTGCAGGCTCAGCGGCCATGGCTCACGGGCCCAGCCGCTCCGTGGCATGTGGGATCCTCCCGGACCGGGGCACGAACCCGAGTGCCCTGCATCAGCAGGCGGACTCTCAACCACTGCGCCACCAGGGAAGCCCCCAGCCTGACTCTCAAACATACTGATGGAGACAAGCCCAACCTACCTGTATTTAGTACTCTGGTCATTTCCTGATTAAGCAACATGCAAGCCACTGAAATAAATGTATATCTTTGAAAATGAGTTTCCTTAATTACCTCATTGAAATTTAATGAAATATCTCCATTTGTAAGATTATTTTCACTTTCCAACAGCACACATCCATGAGATACACTAAGAGAGAACGTATAAAGAACAGCGTAAGACAGAGGGAGAAGTGTTTTTCTGTACCATATATTTCTTAAATATATATATTTAAGAAATCTCTTCCTTGTGAGGTCTCTCCTGAGCCACACAACTGCCTCTCTGTGCACATTCTTGTGCATTTTTATAAGGTCTCATCAATAAGCACTCTATGAAAAAAATGGTATGTTGGAGTCATGAAAAATATCTTGGCTGGCTGAAAGTATCACATAAATACATCCTGGTGTGTACAAACTGCAGCAGATGTAATTTAAATTTCTAATTAGGAACAACACTGGTTTGAGTAAAAAAGAAATGTACTCAAGAGCAAAAATTCAGAAAGAGATTAAGTGACAAACATAATTTCAAGCAGAATAGTAGACACATAAAGTCTACTGTCCTACAAAAGATTGGTTTGAGGTTTTCATAGTTCAAGAAAATCTTATCCTTGGGTGAAATTGAAACAAAGGAAAATTTCTGGTTAATCAAAGGCACTGGATAGAGATTTAGATTCTAGATATGTTTTTCTATATTGTCTTTTTTAATACTGTCTTCAACATAGGACTCTGAAGCTTACTGTTTTTAACCAACATGAATCAAACCTTATGAGGCACTCAGGTTTGCAAAACTTCTTTTATAAACAGACCATATTCCTAAGAAAAAAAATACCAAGATCAGACTGAGTAAATCATCCTTGTCCCCTAAGCCCGTCACATCAGCCCTGATCCTGCATTCCACATCTCTGTTGCGGAAGGACTAATGAATTCTCTTTGGTCTCAGAGCCTGCAGAGCCCCAGACATAGTCTGCACACCCAACAGACTGATGTGAAGCTGGTTAGTTCTATAACTCACAGCTTCTGTTGGACGGCGGAATAGATGCCCAGAGGGCTAAACAGACACCCAGAAGGAAAAGATAAACAAGAGACCACCAGGTCATCAGGGCCTTTGTTCATAGGATACCTTTATGGAAAGTAGAAAGAGGTATACACACACACACACACACACACACACACACACACACATATATCCATCCCAGGATCCTCACATAGGCCCATGGTTTAGTGAGAGGTGGTAAATTTATGCAAATTAGAAAAAAGTGCCCCTTCTGCCAGGTGGAGGTAACCCCACACTAAGGCAAATGATTTGGTACGTATTTCGGCTTCAAATTACTACCTTAGCCAGGAAAGTCTGTATAGTTACCAACTGGCACAATCATACAGGATAGACCTGAAAGATGTTGCGCTTCTTCACTTGAAACACATACATGTAAATGATACAAGCTATGAAAAAAGAAGCAAGAGCGCTTCCCTGGTGGTGCAGTGGTTAAGAATCTGCCTCCCAGTGCAGGGGACACGGGTACGAGCCCTGGTCCAGGAAGATCCCACATGCCGCGGAGCAACTAAGCCCGTGTGCCACGACTACTGAGCCTGCGCTCTAGAGCCTGAGAGCCACAACTAGTGAAGCCCCAGCACCTAAAGCCCATGCTCCGCAACAAGAGAAGCCACCGCAAAGAGAAGCCTGTGCACCGCAACAAAGCGTAGCCGCT